TCCATACTTCCACCTCTTACAATACTAGACAACACAGTATCAACAGTAGAGACCTTCAAATTTCTAGGTTCTACCATATCGCAAGATCTAAAATGGACAGCTAACATCAAAAACATCATTAAAAAAGCACAACAAAGAATGTTCTTTCTGCGCCAACTCAGAAAGCTCAAACTGCCCAAGGAGCTGCTGATCCAGTTCTACAGAGGAATTATTGAGTCTGTCATCTGCACCTCTATAACTGTCTGGTTTGGTTCTGCAACCCAACAAGACAGACACAGACTCCAGAGGATAATTAGAACTGCAGAAAAAACAATTGCTACCAACCTGCCTTCCATTGAGGACCTGTATACTGCATGAGTCAAAAACAGGGCTGTGAAAATATTTACAGACCCCTCGCATCCTGGACAAAAACTGTTTCAACTCCTACCCTCAAAACGACGCTATAGAGCACTGCACACCAGAACAACTAGACACAAGAACAGTTTTTTCCCGAACGCCATCACTCTGCTAAACAAATAATTCCCTCAACACTGTCAAACTATTTATTAAGTCTGCACTATTATTAATCTTCTCATCATTCCTATCACCCATCTCCTTCCACTAATGACGGTATGATTGTAACTTTGTTGCTTGTATCCTTACGATTTATATTGATATTGTTTCCTAGCATGATTTGATTGCTTATTTGTACCCTATGACTATCATTAAGTGTTGTACCCTATAATTATTAATGAATGTATCATACACTCTGAGAGTGTATGCAGCAAAGGCAAATTCCTTGTGTGTCCAATCACACTTGGCCAATAAAGAATTCTATTCTATTCTAACTTATGTTACTGTATTTTCCTATCAATCTGAACATAGCATATCAATTACGTCTTCCGGAGTGCTGAAATGCTTAAATTTACTCTTAGGTGTTCAATTGGACCTTGTTGACTGTTGCATCCCCAGATAAAGCTGGGCATGGGAATTCTGGGAGTTGTAGTCCAAACACCTGGACTTAACCTGGCCAAGTGTGAAAAACATTCATTGAAACACACGAAATGCCCCGCCCTTTCAGAGCCGCGCCCTGCCCCACCAGAAGACCACTCGTGATTGCCCCTGCTTCTCCTCCTTTATGTGAAACCATCTGCCTCGTTATGCATCTAGTTCGCCTACTCAAACACACAAAACAATTGAGAAAAGTCACTTTTCCCCCCCCCTCTCACCTTTTCTGCACCTCGATCCTCTCGCACCCCACCACCACCTGCGGGCGCCCTGCCTCCCATCAACCAAAATGGACGGCACCTTCCCTGCTTTCCCCTTCCACTCCTACCTTCCTGGCTTCCGATAGGGGAATAGACAGCCAGGGCAGTTTTTGCTCCGCCTCCGTTCCTCGATTCTAACCAATCAGAATCGGAGGGCCGAACGCTTAATGTGTTTCGTCATGGGCCTCCTGCCTTCTTCTCGTGTGGCGTAAAGAGCGTAACTTGCGCTTTTTGCGCACGGTGATGCCGAGGTAGATTCGAAAGGTGTTGAGTGAGAAGCCAGCGGGATGGGTTTTTGTTTTTTCTTCTTCTTCTTCTGCAAAGGCTTTTTGCAAACTTCTGCGACGCACTGGCTGGCTTAGCCCCACTCTAGGCTAAATTGTGATTATCTCCTGTGTTTAGTAAACTATTTATTGCGAGCATACAGTATTTTAGACAATCCGCTTTTCTAACTCTGCTAAGTGAGTTATTGTGGCAAGTAAAGGTGAATGTCTGTTTCATATCCCTTAAAGTGAGATTGGTTGATTATCACTCAGCTTTATGTTAGCTATGATTTAAGGCTTACTGTTGGGCACTTGTAAACAATACAAGTCTTTCTCAACCTTGGGAACTTTTAAGGCATGTACACTTCAATTCCCAGAATCCCCCAGCGTGGCTGGCTGGGAAATTCTGGGAGTTGGCATCCGTATGCCTTAAATCAGGGGTCTGGCAACTTTAAGCCCAGTGGACTTTAACTCCCAGGATTCCCAAAGCAAAGCAAAGCTGGGGAATTCTGGGAGTTGAAGTCCACCAGGCTTAAAGTTGCCAAGGTTGGAGACCCCTGCCTTAAAGTTCCCAAGATTGAAAACACTAATTTAGAGAATTTATATGACAGTCGTCCCACTTTCTTTCAGTGACTCTAGGCATATTCTTGAAAGCTTGAAGATTCCACAGGTGGTGATCCTCGGTCAGATTTAGTCAGTGAGCAGTTTGGACATGGTTGTTGCAGTGCTTAGATTGGATTTCTCCATATGGGCTGAGACTCTGAACTAGAAAAAACGTAACAGCAATCCACTTCCATAGTACCGTGAACAAAATCAAAAAATAGATATGTCTCCCAGTTCATCAGGAGAGTTTACTTAAATAAATGTCTTCATGTGACATGTGAAGCTGGCTCTTGTTCATATTTAAAACGGGGATTTCTGCCTCAATCATGCTCATCATAGTGCTTGTTGACTTAGGTGGGTGAACTAGGATTTGATAAACTGCAGAAGTCTATGATGGATTCCCTTCTCATGCTGCTTTCTTCTACCGTAGTAAGTGAAAGGAGATTGGCCTCTGGTTTGCATTTGCTCATTGTATGCTATAATCGTTCAGGTGCCTCGAGAATTTGCAAACCCAGTTTTACATTTGCATTTACATGTGTGTGCCTGTGTGAAAGGATAGAGTGATAAATATGCATATTTAAATTCACATTTCAGTTTCAGAGTGAACCATACTGAAGGAGATGTGAATGTGCTTGAGATAAAACTGAGCTTCAATTGTGCTTGTAGCATGTTTGGCCAAAATGAATCACTACAGGTAGTCCTTGACCTACAACATTTCATTTAGTGACTGTTTTAGGGATACTGACAAAGGCACTGACAAAAATGACTTATGACTGTTTTTCACACTTATGACTGTGACAGCATCTCTATAATCACACTATTAAAATTCAGACACTCGGCAACTGACTCATATTTATGATGATTGCAATGTCCTGGTGACATGTGATCACTTTTTGCCACCTTCTGACAAAGTCAATGGGGAAGCCAGATTCACTTAACTGTATTACTAATTTAACAACTGCAGTGTAACAATCATGGTAAGAAGAGTCATAAAATGGTGCAAAACTCACTTCACAATTGTCTCACTTAGCAACAGAAATTTGGGGCTCAATTGTGGTCGAGGACTACCTGTACAGTGTTTTTCTGTTAGGAGGGAACAGGACATGTTATTGAAACAACTAGGGCTCGTAACATTGGTTTGTTATCTTGACTAAAAAGCACAACATGAAAGCTTCAAGTAACACGTCATGATGGGTGTTGTAGGATAATATTCAGGAACCCTTCTATTCACAACAAGGACTATGGAAGACTGAGACACATAGTTTAAGAAGTGTACAGTATGAAGTGCATGAATTAACAAATGCAAGATGCATGAAGAGAAGAATATGTAATAGAGCTGAATGAAGATGTGATCTTGTGATGTTGATGAATACACACACTTGGAAGAGAAGGTGTGGAATAATTGAATAAAACGGTTAAAGTTTATGTCAGGCAGTATAAGCTGATGACAGCTAGAATATTAAAAACATTTAGCAGGAATTCATAGATTGGTGATAATTGCATGCCATGCTTCAGCAAATGGTGTTAATGAAAGAATAACTGATGAGTTTCGGGAAAATTGTGCAATGTGAATGAATAGTATGTAAAAAGGCTGTTTTGTTTGTGACATGGAAAATAAAGTGAGAAGATACACATACAAAAAATAGTTTTTAGCCTGAATGAGGATGACTGCTTGATGGACATCTGCTTAGAAAAAGGGCCCACTTATTCCAGAAACACAGTTGAAACATGTCTGTTTACATGGATACATGGCAAGAGATTAATCTAAAATGATTGTTGTTTACAATGAAATATTAAGATAATTAGCAACGATCTTTATTTTTGGAGATGTTTTGAAAGTCTGCTCTACAGCTCTCTTGAATTTTTGCTTTGAAATAAGCAGAAATTGACAGTTTTGATATGATATGGTGAGTGCCTTGAGTTTTTTAGCAGCTCTTTTACTGTGGAAAGAAAGAACCAGAATTACCTTTCTCCTTCCTGAGATCAAAATGTTATCCCTAACCCTAACCCTAACCCTTCTTTTCACATTTAAACGTGCTTGTACCTCTCATTGGCCTAATTAACTGGGTGAATTCCCTGTGCATATTGCAAGCCAGCAACACCACCATGTTGCATTTATCAATGATTGTAAATGCCTTCTAAAGATGCAGGATTGTAATTCCAGAAACTGTAATCCAACAAAGCTAAAAGGTACTAGGGCAGGAGTGTCAAACTCACAGCGGCGTCACATGACATATCGGGACTTTTCCCCACTTCACTAAACCGGGCATGGTCAGTGTGTAACACATCCGGCCCAGGGGCTGGGAGTTTGACAGCTCTATACTAGGGAAAGCAACTAATTATTTTAGCAATGCAACATATGCTTTGTAGAAACCCTGGTTTCAAGTTTGCATCCACAAAGATGAATCATTTCAACCATCTGCACTTCTAAATAATATCAAATTAGACTGCTAGGTGGTGCGATTGTCTAAAACAGCAACCTATGTTCCCATGATAGCATATGTCTCCCTAACATATTTCCAGTAAAATCATGCTTTTTGATAGACTGAATGGATTGCATTTTTAACAATATTTTAAAAAAGTTTTCAGAAGAAAGGGAGAATAATTGAAGCAACTATCTGTGAGGAGGAAGAGGAGGATGGCTGTGTTCAAATAAAGTTAAACCCCGAAGCAGACAACCTCTTTATACATTTAAGTGAATACAGAAAAATAACTCTGCTAAAAAGGATATGGCTTACACACCTTTCTTATGGGTTAGTAGTTACTGTTATCAATCACTATATATTTCTCCTTTCTCCCTTCTGTAAGGACTTCTTAAAACCAAATTCAAGACAAGGTCTTGTTTTGTGGATTTCTCAGGAAAAAAAATCTGCAAAGTGCACAAAGGTTTGAGTTTTGCATTTTTTTAAAAAGAGAAGTTTACAAGGCACATTCTCCAACAGCATTGCAATACTGACAGCCAAGGTTTAGATCTTTGAGTATATGTGTTTTCAACAGCTATAATTATTTTTGAACTATATTAAGTGCGGGGAATACATACTTGTCATGCTTACATGATTCCACAATCTTGTTATTTTCCAAATCCTGAAGGAATAGCAAAAAATTAAACACAACTCCCTAAAAACTCCCAATACTTAATTCAGAAACCAGAAATGGAATTTAACACTGTTATGATTGAGCATTGGTCTCCCTGAGCCTTTAAGAGCTGTTTTTTTTTTTACATTACAAATTCCTTTTCAAAAGGATCTCATTACAACTCAGCATTTTAAGAGATTTTACAACTTGAAAGTTCTTATACTTCAGTTCAAGCATAACCAGTGAAATATGGGAAGATCCCCATTATTTAAATTATAAGACACACTGACACTCAAGAGAGAGATACACATTTCTTGCTCATGGTCAGAACTGTTTTCTGAGACTATACAGAACTGTAAAATTTTGTAACATAAATGTGTTACTATTCTCTAAAACTTTTACAATACTCAGCACTGGGAATAGTATTCAAAAGGAATTCATTTTAGGATTGTGAAATTTTATCTGCACTGGTTGGAAGGACAGGGATTCGTGAAAGGCCAATCCACTACAACTCTTTCAGAGAATTAGAATTTGTGTTCAAAATTCAAGACCACTGAACGAAATGCTATCTGTATATATTTCTATAGGCTTCGCAAATAAAAATAAAAGAAAATGGCTTAATACCAAATGAGCAGAACATTTAAGAGCACAATTTATCATCTCTCCCTCAAATGTCACAACACCATGGTTAGCAGTAGTACTGTAAAGTTAATTTCTTTTAGAAATTAAAGCAAATGTATCTTTCGTTAACTTACTGCTACAACATAAAAGCACAGAGACATAAACTTGTACAGAAATAAATGACTGTAATATTAAAGAAAATTACATTTCAATGCATTCCAGACTTTTGTCCCTTTTAAAATAATTTTACTCAAAACCCAGACTACAACAGGTTCTGTGAAGTGATTTGGTTTACACCGAAAACTGGTACACCTCTTATCTGAGAAAGTTGTCCTCTTCCCCGGAGTGCACAGATTTGGGAGGAATGCACATGGCACGGTGAAGGAGGAAAAGGACACTGCCTAGCCAGTCAGATGAGGCAAATCAGCCCTAGCGATCAATGGGGTCAGAGATGTCATAGCTAGATTGCCCTCACATCCAGCTGATTTGGAGTGATTCTTTATGGCAGGAGGCAGGGCAGCCTGAAGGGAGAGGCCAAAAACATCAAGATAGTATCCTAACTATGAGACCAAAGCCATTTTTACATGCACTAATGCACATACAAAAAAAGGACAGGGTTTTGAGTACATGGATGTGGCACCATTCTTGACTTTTTCAGCCTCTGGTATGGCTATCCCTGGCAGGATATTTCCAAGCTCAATTAAATGTAAAATAAAATAATTACATTTTCAAATTCTTATGTTCAAGAGCTTTGACTTGCACAATAAAAGGCAGCATTGATTAGCTTCCCTAAAAATGCCATACAACAAGACCATGATAAAATATTCACATTTTTTCTCTCTGGCTATTTCGTTAAGTATTATTAAGTATAATATTAAAGTCAGAAAAAAATATAATTTTGGAATGAAATACTTTTTCAGCAAGTATACTAGGAACATCTTCAGGGCATACAGTTAAATAACTGTTTTTAATTCAAGACCATGAGATCAAACACAGGAGAAATTCAGAGAAAAAAAGTAGAAAAGGAAGTTTAACAATAAAAAAGCTGTGAAGAATAAAGTTATACTAAAATATAATAAGAACTTTTACTTTATGAAAGTAAGCCAATTTACATTATTAGTTTGGTCATTAGTGGCATTTTGACTTAATTTTGCAGAAATATTTTAACCAGACAATTGCCACATTCGGATGTCAAGCCAGAAATCCGGATTTAATTAAAAAAAACAAAAATTGAGTATGTAAATATGGTTTGCTTGCTCCACCATTCAAATGGATGAAGAAATCAGGAATAAATAAAATTTAACTGCAGCTACCAAAATACATAAGGATTCATAAACAAAATCTGATCTTTTATTTTGGCTTACAAATCCAAATTTATCTGGGCATATTATAAAACCAATGAATAGAAGAGCAAATGGGTGGAATACTCTTACTAAGCCACAATGAATAATTTGTCCTGATAATGACTAGGAACAAATGATAAATGCAAATAATTACACAAAAACATAAGCAACGAACAGAATAATCCCACAAAGTAGCAAGTAGTTGAAGCTAAACTTCTAGAATATGAGCCGTCAACCTTTTCTTATTAAAGGGCTAAATTTTATGTTGGTTCATTACCTTTTTTAGATAAGACATAAGAATGCCTAAAATATATGATTTACAGAACTGAAAGGAAATCTTTATTTAATTCAACTTATTTAGAATACTATTATTGATTGGGTACCTAAACCAAACCTTTCACCAAACATAAGAGTATAATAATGCTCTACTAAAAATAATAATAAAAAAGACAGCCCCAATCAGAGAGTTTCTCTCAGCCAACAGCTTAGTCTGCACAGCCTTATTCCTCAGTCTATCATTCTCAGCCATTTGTCTCCCTACTTTTCCCATAGTAACAAATTCCAGGAATATAGTGGGATTTCCAAACTAATGAAAATAGCGGAACGTTCCCCATCCCACCCCACTTCCAAACCCAGATATATGTATATAACCGGAGAATAATGTCCAGCAAATTCTCTTATTCCTTTTTTTGTATTTGCCAACATAAATAAACATAGCTAAAAAAGTAATTGCTATGAAACTGAAACCAAATTGACGTTAAAAGTGAAAAACTGGAAAGATGCCTTTTAATTCTTGGAAGACAGTTGTATCCTCTATAGTTCTGGGCATATCTCTCTCTTGTGAGAGATGCCTGTGTCAGTCTGTAATAGTCATGCAGGATACACTACGCAGTTTTCATGTAGTCAATGATGTGCCTTTGTGTGCATCTGCAATTTATATGCAATAGAAAAAAGGTTTGTTGGAACCTTAGCCTTTTTAAAAATTACGCAAAGTCCATCTTCAAAGGATGCAAAAATCTCAGGATTGAAAAGATATTATAGAATTGATTTTATATACCAAGTAAGACCTATTCCAGTATACTCGTGTGAAGTAATTCACATATGGAGAATAGTTCATTTTGATCTCCTGACAAAACCGCCCATATTTTGAGAAGCCAGAGCTGTCATTTTCTTCATAATAAACCTAGAGGAAAACAAGAAAACAATAAACAACAAAATACATATTTATCTTCAGGGAGGAATCAAATACATTTTATATTGGAATCCTTAATTAAATTCATGTTTATAATGCCAATGTGAAAGTAGTAATATTACTACACTATTAGGTTTCAGTGGAAGCACTTTATACAAAAAGGAGCAATTTTTAAAAGTAAAAATGTTATACGCATGTAACCAATTAATTTGTTTGCTTTTTAAAAAAGATTTTTATTCCACTGTTTTTTCATACACAACTCAAGGTGAGGGTCATACCAATACCCCTTTTCCCTCTGATTTTCTCCAAAGTAACAACCCTGTGAGGTGAGGTGGGCTGAGAATGACTGGTTTTACCCAAGGAGGAACTAGAATTCAGTTTTCTGATTTCTAGGTCATCATCTTAACCAATATTAGTAGTGTTTGTTTTATGACTATTTACTCAGAGATCAGTTATGACATTATTGAGCGAAGGAACTTACAACTGGTCCCTGAAGGATTTGCTTTCACTTCAAGTGTGTGTGCGCGTGTGGAGCATTCACATTGTGGCATTGGGCTAAATCAAAAGAACTCGGTTTCAATGCATTGCTCAGCTATGATTACCTTCTATGACTGCTTTTCAGAATCTTATACAGGTTATACAGATGAATAGGTCACAAGATGTATCCTATGTAATATTTATCTGTAGCAATCACCATTGAGCAAGTAGATCTTGCTTCTGAAAAAATGTGCTGAATTTGGCTCACACACTTATTATGCAAATTATTAATGTATCGTGTAAACTACAAGAGCTGGTGACTGAACTATGTCACACTACTACTTACATGACCATTGGCAATATCTAATAAGTCTTTAACCCTGCATCCTCTCACTGGTCCAACTTCATTGCAAATTGAATCTTCTATGACCAGATACGTAGCTTTGTAAGATGTGAGTATTTTGTAGATATCCTCAGCTGATCTTTTGGAATAGATCTGAAAAATCTATGGATTGAAAAGATATTTAGTTGAAAATATGTATGCTGGAAGCAACAGCTGGTTATCATTTTGGAAGAGAAGACGAGGGGGCTGGAAGCAAAATCACCCATCCTCTCCCCAGATTAATCCAAAAAGATGAGGAATTATTGGATTGTCTATAGGGAGTACTTATGGACAAGCTATTGTATGTAGAAGCTCCCTAGAACAGAAAGTAAAGCTAGATGGAGGGGACAGAGAGATGGGAAAAGTTGACATTTTAAAAAAAATATTGGTGTCTGCAGTTTCAGAATAGATTTCAATGCCTTCCTGTGAGAAATCTATCTGGACCTCTGGATAAAGAGCAGCTGCCACAAGCTTCAGAGATTGAGAAATAGTATTGTACATTATGTATTTACCTATGAAGTTTGAGTTCAGGTTATCTGAAAAAAGTTCCAGTTTTAGTTTTACATGCAAGGCACCTGCTATCTTAGGGTAAATGGACTCACATTTTCATTTCTCTTTTGCAGGTCATCATCATTATACAGGGGTAGATTTGTCACCATCCATCCAGTGCACAGTCTGATTGTACCCATTAACTGTGGACTTCCAGCAAAGACGGCAGCAATAGGAGCCTGTCTTCTGTAAAAAAAATAATGAGGCCTTGTCTCTCACATATTCCATGAAGAATTCCATGAAGAACATATAGAATTCAGAAATCCTGTTCGAGCCAGATTTTGTTCCTCAGTGTAAAGGTCAGTTCTTTGTAAGAATCCAGATGGTGGTTTTATAAATAACTCGTTACCAGTAAAAAGATCTGCCTCCTTGCCAGTTCACAGAAAAGTCATTATAATAAAATTACAAAAGGATTGGCCCAATTGATTTAGGGGACAAAAGACTTCTAATGCTGGTAACCTAATCCCCATGACTTCAATAAATCTTAAAACAACTCTGTAGGTTTATGCCTAGAAAAAGGATTGCTGCCCCAAAGCCTGGCACTTAATGGCCCAGAAGCAACTACAGTCAATGGTACTTTGGCACGGCTTCCAGCTGATCACACCTTTTCCTGCACAATTAGACATGTTTTCATAACATCATAAAATCTGGTAATGTGTTCCTTGCAGTCAGTGGTGAAATCCAATTTTTTTAGTACTGGTTCTGTGGCCGTGGCTTGGTGAGCTTGGCGTGGCTTGGTGGGCATGGCAGGGGAAGGATCCTGCAAAATCCCCATTCCCTCCCCACTCCTGGGAGAAGGATATTGCAAAATCTCCATTCACACCCCATTCTGGGGCCAGCCAGAGGTGGTATTTGCTGGTTCTCCGAACTACTCAAAATTTCCGCTACTGGTTCTCCAGAACCTGTCAGAACCTGCTGGATTTCACCCCTGCTTGCGGTCCTGCCGCTGAAAAGTTTTTGATTGGATATGTAGCTTTATTACTTTGTTTCACTGACTGAAAATGCTGTTTTTGTTTTTAAGCTGCTGAATAGTTTGGGCTTATGTCAACGATAGACATTTCCTCCTTCCTTCTTGTCTCGTGTAAACTGACCTGTTTTGTGCTGGTTTGAGTTCCTGGCTTGCTTAAAAAGGAAACAAGTCAGAGTTCCTGATTCAAATATTGATGCTAAAGAAACTATGGTTTGTACAAATGTATAATGATAGTTTCCAAAGCAGACCTGGGCATTTTACAGCCTATGGGCCACATACGGCCTGTTACGGCCCATGGGCCACAATCAGCCCTTTGGTTGTTTCTGTGTGGCTCGTGAAAGTAGTGGTGGCAATGGTGGCAGCAGCCCTATTAGTTCAGCCAGTGGTGAAATGTAAAATTTGTTACTACTGGTTCTGTGGGTTTGGCTTAGTGGTGGTGGGGTAATGTGACTGGGTGGACGTGGTGAACTTTTTTTTTTTTTTTTTTTTTTTTACTTTTCAAACCATTTTTTCTACAACCTCTTCAGATGAAGAGGTTGTAAAAAACAATGCTTTTAAAAGTCTCTGCCGATCAGGCAACTCAGCTGGGATCGTCAGAGGTTTTTAAAAGAAAAAAAGCCTCTGCTGATCAGACAACTCACCTGGGATGGTCAGAGGCTTTTAAAAGCATTTTTTCTACAACCTCTTCAGCTGAAGCTGAGCCACACGATCATCAGAGGCTTTTTTTTTTTACTTTTAAAAGCATTTTTTCAGCTGAAGAGGTTGTAGAAAAAATGCTTTTAATTTTTTTTTTAAAAAGTCTCTGATGATTGTGCGGCTAGGCTGGGCATGGGGGGGGGGGAGGGATTTTTGCTACAGGTTCTCCAAACCACCTGCCATCATCGTTACCGGATCGGATGATCCGGTCTGAACCAGGAGCATTTCACCCCTGAGTTCAGCCCTCTGAACAATCCGTTTCCCAGGTGCACCTGCGGGAAAATTAATTGCCCCCCCCTTCTAAAGCCTTCTCAATCACCTTGTAATAATCAAATTTCAAACATGTGAAAATGATGGTGTATCAATTAATGCTCATGTGGTTAAACCACTAAGAGTTTTTAGATAACAGTGTTATAGCACACAACAAGCCTGGATAAACACAGGAAAGAATTCTTGAACCAACTATGTGATAAATGATGACTGTGAATCATAGATTACCAATATATTTAGGAAAAAAAATATTACTTACTTAATCCAGGTCATGAGTCCTACTGTATCAGGGTCATAAAATTCTTGGAGCTCTGAGAGTTCTGCCATTATCCTAGGAAAAAACTAAAAGGAAGCACCAAGGCTATGAACTGTGGGAAGACAAATTACAAAACTTTAAATAATGCAGGAAAGTGGACTAAAAACACCTTTCTAGCTTTACCATCAAACCACATTTTACATGCTCAAAAATCCATTTGCTACATACAGCAAAATTCGGTTTCTTTGTCATAACCCACTTTAATAGAAATGCATCTTTTGGGTTCATCTAATTAAATCTCTTAGGGTATTAATATAAGTACTCCTAGTTTTGTTAAGGTATTCAATATCATTCAAAGATCTTTTAAAAACATTATTAGAATTGCATGTGAGATAAAGCTAAAACCTCCTTCAAGCCCAGTCCATGTAATTTTCTTGGCAGCATTATAGAAAGCTTTAGCCACTGCTTTCTTCCAAGATAGTTCTCACTCTAGCTAAAGTGTTTCTCAACCTTGACAACTTCAAGATGTGTGGACTTCAACTTCCAGAATTCCCCAGCCAGAATTCCAAACATTGCTGTAGCTTATTGCCCTAGTATTCACTGGATGTTTCCCATCCAAATGTTAACCAAGCCCAATCTTGCATAGCTTGTGAATCCAAAGTCAGCCAAGTACAGTCATGGTTAAGACAAAAAGTACTATCTAGCTTTATGTTCCATGCAAGTGCTACTGTTTTAGGTGCAGACATTTGGTTAAATATTCTTATAGGAAATTTATGTGTGCAAGCTTGCTATACATAATGTAGTGAACTGTATCAAAACCAAGTATTAGCTCTTATCATTAAATCTTCCAATATTCTGCATAGTTAGGAGGAGGAGTGGGAAGGCAATATTTATATTGTATATAATATTCTATTCTTACCTCTTTCCACAAACTAAACCCTATAATAGCTGGAACAGCCATACTCAGAATGAGAGCCTAGAAAAGTAAATAGACAGATAAAATAGTTATATTTCGGAGTTTCTTTTTGGTTCCCACCCATGCAGATTCTTTCAAATCACTCCTGTACATGTCTTGGGGCTACAGTTCTACTTAGGAATACATCCCATTGATTTTTTTAATAGGCATATGTAAGATTATATCCTAACATTGATGAAAGATGGCATATAGCAATGATGGCTAACCTTTTTGCCGTTCTGTGCCAAAACCAGGGGGAGCATGGCAGGGTTGCGCGCGTGTGTGCCCACATCCATAATTCAATGTGGCCCAGCCCCCTGCATGCGACCCCCCACGCTCCCCACGCTTTTGGCATGCGGTGGCACAGTGGGCCCAGTAGGCCCGTTTTCACCCTCCCCAGGCTTCAGAGGCTTTCTTGGAGCCTGGGGAGGGTGAAAAACAGGCTTCCCCACCTCGCTGGAGGCCCTCCGGAGGCCAGAAACAGCCTGTTTCCTGACTTCTGGTGAGCCCGGAAGGCCCGAAAATCAGCTGGCCGGCAACGCTCGCGTGCCCACCGATATGGCTCTACGTGCCACCTGTGGCACACGTGCCATAGGTTCGCCATCACGGGCATATAGAATTCCTTTGGAGCAGAGTAGCAGTCCGTAAATGCAACAATAAATGGTTCAGCTGTACGAGGAAATCCTCATTTCAGGCTGCCAATACACCGCCATTAAATGGCAAAAAAGTTGTACCTGTAATGTATGCTCATCTAGGGAAGAGATGTAATACACATATTATCCAGAAAATACAAAATTGGCAGATGGTAGCTCTACCAGATTTGAGTGGATGATACCTATGCTCAAAAAATGGCCAATAAATGTACAGTAGTGGCCAAAATTGTGGAAACCTTTTGGGAAAAGTGTATTTTTGAGGTTTGATGGCTAATGGCACCACTTTTTGGGAAGTTTCAAGATAATCATATTCCACTGCTGGAATGGCCTAGGAATAGCCCAGACCTTAACCCAAATGAAAATCTATGGAACCGACTACAGAAACTTGTTAGTCAGAAGCGACCCAGCAATAAAACCCAGTTAATAGATGCAATCATTCAATCTTGGTTTCACATTATAACAGCTGCAGAATTAAAAGACATGGTTCATTTCATGGGAAGACATTGTAAACCTGGAATTCATGCTAAAGGTTACCCAACTAAGTATTAACTGACGTGATAATTTTTGTATATCTCGTTTTTTCTACGTGCTTCACTTTTCTTCTTTATACTGTAGCTGCTACTCTAACAGCAAATCCTTCATAGAAGTTATTGCATTACATTCTTAATTAAATTATCTTTCCATTGATATATAATTTTATGGTATTACTCCCCAAAAAAGTGGTGTTATTAGCTAGTTTTAGAAAATACACTTTTCCCAAAAGGTTTCCACAATTTTGGCCACTACTGTACAAAAGGAGCACATTTTCAGTTACGTATGTATCATGTAAGCACATGTGAGCCAGCAGACACACTCATACACATAAGATACAAAAATGCCTGTATTTCTCCAGCTCCAGTGAGACAACCATCAATAAAGTTCAGACATTTACTCAACCAAGTATTCACATTGCCATATGTTACTACAGCCTCTGCTTTGCAACAAACAGAAGGGGAAGAAGAAGACAAGATATAATCTAGCGTCCACTTAGTACCCTAAGCAGGTTGCCAATATAGTCTTTCCTTCTTCTGATTGGTCTTTAGCCCTTGAGGAGGTTATTTCGCCAGGCAATCAATATCACAGAATAAATGAGAACAGTCACAGAATACCAATACTTCTGTAGCCTCCCTTGGCCATAACTAAGCCATCCATCTGTCACGATCACACTGTAACTCACATTTTGCCTGACTCATGAGGCTTCTCTAAACCTACAGTTCTTCAGCCAAATAACAAATCAAATATAATGATGCATCCGGAACTGCAACGGTCATGTTAAAATAATATGCAAGTTAGAGATAGTACAAATCTCTACAACCTCAAGTCTTTCCCTATCTTTATCTATAAAAGCCTATGCAGCAACCCCCATCCATAAACCATAGTCTTCGAACCATATCAATTTTCCTTAAAATGATTGCCTCCTAGAACAGGGGTCTCCAACCTTGGCAACTTTAAGCCTGGCGGACTTCAACTCCCAGAATTCCCCAGCCAGCAAAGCTTGGAGCAAAGTTGGAGACCCCTGTCCTAGAAGACTCAGAACAGCCTTTGACCAAGCAACCAAGATTTTAGAAAACTGCTGTCTGAACATATCTAGAAGATACCAGGCTAGAAAGGCTTGGCCATATCCTGTCTGCAGACCATGATTTTGAAGAGAGATGATTTTTTATATGCTTACCAGTGAATACAGCCATTCCTTACAGCCACTATAAAGAAGATGAACTCACCAGCAGAACAGGATGCACAGTTTTCAGTCGGATCCACTTGAAAAGAGTCGTCCAAAGCTCAGGAGAACAGACTCCAAATGCCGCAATCATACAAACATATGGAGTCCACACGTATTTCATTCTAGAGAAACAACACAAATCCAGAAAAAAGATAAAGGGGTGGTACTGATGTGGCAAAAAAGAAAGGACAAGTTTGGCAGAACCCGTTGAACTCAGACTTGAGAAATGAGAAATAGAGTTAAATTTCATCTACACTATATTGATACTTCACTGCCAATTCTAAGATAGCTTCATGGGCACCGATTTCATGTGCACAAACAAGAAACAAAATGGAAATCTGTGAGGCATTTGTAACCCTCTGCAAACTTTGCAAACAGACTTCTGTTACCATGTGAAAACTGGTACCAACTGTTTCTGAGAAGTCAAGAACAAACGGGGTCACATTCTCCCTGTTCTTCTGATAATGTCATGTATCAGGATGATCAAGGCTTTTATAGTGCCAAAAATTAGGTGTCTTCTATGTGCATCTAAGCAATTCTTTTTATTTATCAGTGCCCAAAGCTGTATCATGTCAGCTCAACAGGAATGTCAGTTATTTGTATCTATAAGATTTGCAAGTCCCTGGAAGATTCATCTATACAGTATGTGACTTTCTTTAAGGTTGGGTAATATCAGATATTATATTAAACAATAAAACAATACTGTTACCCTATGAATAGGAACATTTGTTATTCAGAAACAAATGGTCTTGATTATGTATTTTCCCCTAAATTAGGAACAGCAGGTAATGTTTCTTCACCATGTCTGTTCACTCGTATATAAGGGCAACATATAAGCGGCAGCCTTAGTTTTGTTTTCTAAAGAGCAAATAACAACTATCCAACCTCTATTAGTCCCAACCCATATGGCCAATGGACATGCTAGAAGGTGCAACCAAAACATCTCAGAGCACCCAAGATAGCCTTATCTCAGGTCATCCAAGATGTCCAAGAGATGGTTGCAGAATTTGAAAGAAGGAAAATATAAACACATTACTGGACCTACATAACGTTTATTTCTGATGAAATACTTTTATATTTAACTACATACAAATAAAATTAAAGCAAATTTTGATCTGGTTTTCCTACTACTCCTTGGAGTATGGCTCTTGGCATATAATTCAAAGATTAGATGCAACCCTCAACCATGGTTCTTAAGATCACAGGTTGCCCACCTAAGTCTGATATTGCAATGATCGATATCAAGTGTAAGAGTCTGTAATGCACTAGATTAAGCTGTATTTTACTGGCAGTCAAAGTTTGCACAATGGCAACTGGTTGTTTGTAATCATTTATTTTAAAGGGAACCAAGGCAATAACAACATCTTTCAGTTTGTGTTTTTCATGGTAGCCAATCAGATACTTTTGGGAAGCTCACAAACATGAGAATGTATTCCTTCTTTATTACTGTTTCTAGGCAACTATGCAGAGATATTCCATAAGCAATGTTTGAAGTAACATAAAGCCAGTCACAGTCAGCAGTCATTTATAAGCTTATCTCTACCTGATTTTTCTATAACTGCCTTTTAAAATCATCTAATTTGGTGATTAATGCTGCACCTTGTAGGAGCAAACGCCTTAAGTTGATTTTCTACTATGTTACTAATTCTCATCTTTTTACACGTGCAAAACACATTTTGATGAGCACAGAAGTAATAACAAATCCACTTAAATAGAGATTCCCACTGCAACTCTCCCTGCTTAGCTCTTCTTCGATATAAAGATGCTTGTAATTCAAGCCTGTTATTAACCAGCCACCAATATTTATTTAAAAATCATAACCATCCTTATCCATGTTCAGGTAATTTTTAAAAAATCCATATACATAAACAGTACTATCTTCCACCTTCCCAGTGAAAAGAAATCCATGCAGCCTTCTCACGGACTCACCCTTCCATCATCATAGAAAGCAACCCCAAGGAAACTGTGTGCAATATATGGTAGGCTACTTCTGGTCTTTCACCAATCCCGCACTCGTGTGTGGTTGGCTCGTTGACTTGTTTATTGCTGTGACAGCGGAAGAGAAAGAAGACGGAGTCATCATACCTCTCTCTCTCTCTCATGGAGTCTGCTTAACATTAAATGACCCATCAGACCCAACAATTGTACTCTTCATTATATTTTCTCTTAAATCTAAACTCTGATGTCTTAACAATAATTCAAGAAAACTGTGTAGCAAAGAAGTTACCAAGGACAGAGTGAGGTACAAACACCCCCAGGCATTCTAAATACATACTATAACGTATGAATGGATAATGAATTCTGCCCAGTTCAAGAACTTATCACAAATTCTTGGATTTTTCTAACTATCCAGAAATGCTTTCTAACATCAAGAATTTTTTAAATAGTTATAAGCTATTTGCAACAGGCTCCAATTATAGTTTTGGAAGTATTTGAGGGGGGGAAAGGAAGAAAGTCTACAACAAATACAAAGACAGCTCACGTTCTTTCTACCTAATTTTGAAGATGAAGGACATATATGCAAATATGACATGCAGGTATCATACTTATACCATATGCAAAGGAAGTTAGAATTCAAATTTAATTCTACCACTGAATAGTTTAATTCTACCACTGAATAGTTTGGGGACCCCTTACGTAACATGTAATGGGTATATCATTTACACCAAGTAACTAGTATCTACAGAAACTATGGAACAAAAATGAAACTTGATAAAAATCAACTTACCTCATTTTCTTAAAGGAAGCCTGACCCACAGAAGCAAGGCAAATAATTAGCACCAAAATGTAGAATGGCAATAGCGAAGAATGAGTAAGCCGCAGGAAGAAGTCTTGGGATGGTGTCTGAAGTGATTCTTGACAAAGCAGCCAATTAACTGTGAAGTTCCTGTTCATGTCAATGGAAGCGAAACACATTAAATAGCCAGACATGGTCCCAGCCAATCAGAATAACCTGCTGTACTGACTGGATTGGCATGGAAAAGACTATTCCCTAAATATATCTTCATTTTGCTCAGAAATAAATGTTTAAAAGAACAAGCAACGGGGCCACCTACAGAGCTTATTTCATCGGTTTTATTTGTTTGTTTGTTTGTTAATTTTTATGCTGCCCATCTCCTCTATAAACTCTATTTAACAAAATCACGGTGAAGGCCGAGTGGCTCATTTTGGCCTTTCAGTGGCAGACTAGGGAGACTCTCCAAAGTAAAACAATGAGAACAAAGAAAAGCATGTAGCTGTTAATATGATTTAAGTTAACGTACACTTTAATTAAAATATGTTTTTTCACAATTGTTGAATAACTTTTTTCTTTGGCTGGGTGCCTTAAAATTAAGATTTGAAGGCATGTTTTAGAAAGTGTTAGGGACTGCTCTTAAGTTTTCCAGGGGCCAGATGTATGTTTGGCCTGAGTCTATTCAACCCCATTTTATCCGGAATTCTTCCACTTTCACAGTCTGTGAGCATCTTCTACAGAAAGACAACTTGATGCTCTCAGCTGAGGCCATCTTCCCACCTTCCCCTGTACATAAGCATGTTTCTTTCTTTCCAAATGTTCCATCTGCTTCCTCACTTGCTGTCTACCTAGCAGCTACTTCAGCTTTGCTTTCCATTTAACTCCTTGATCTGTCTTTTAGCTTCTCCCTCAAGTTTACTAGTCCACAGATCTCACTTAACTAACAGCTACTCCTGAGATCTCTCACTAAATAAGACATGTTTTGTGGAAACCCACTTGATGATGCTGAATTCTTATTTCTGTCAATCCCAGGCAGCATGTTTGATGATCAGGGCTGATCAAATTGATGCAGACCTCAATCATAAAAACATTCCACAAGAAAAAAGCACGAAACAAAGCAAACTAAAGGAATATATAAAATTATTCCAGATCTGCTGCTTGATAATTTATTGTGTTCTTACTGGTACCTGAACCTCAGTTTACAAGGGACTAGTGCCGGATGTAGCATATGGAGCCATATTTCCAGGCACGCGAGCTGTTGCCCAACTCACCGGAAGCTGCACAGGCGCGTGCGCCCCAACTGGTGGTCAGGCCTCCGGTGAGTATGCGCGCAATTCAGGGGACCCAGCTGGTCTTCGGAGCTCTCCTGCGCATGCATGCACATTTGCACATGCACATGAAAATACTGGTGAGCAGCATGCACAGATGGCATTCATGTACGTGCATTGTGCATGTGAAAACCATGCACATGCACAGATGGTGCAATTGCATGCACAGCGCATGGAGCACACGCGCAAAAGCTGTGTGCATGGTGTGGTTGCACATGCAGCATATGGGAAGGAGATGCGCGTTAGCGCGGATAGCACACGCGTACATGAAGCGCACGAAGCACGGACCTGTTTGATACTCGGTGAGTAAAAGGTTCGCCACCACTGGACTAACGTCTCATCTTTATTCATCAATTATTCTGGCTTCTAAGACTTTGCCTACACAGTTCATAGCATTTCCTCAAGGACAGAAGCATACATTTTAAAAAGAGTCCAGAGATGTCCCAACTGCTAAGTATCTGCTTATGATAACTGCTACTACATGTGGGCAGAGATGATGCTCAAAATTGGTTCAGTGCCCTCATCCAGTGCTTCTAGCACATAATTATGAGGACTGGGCAGGGTTTCTCACTGGATCTCTCAAAGGGCTTGAAGGGTCAATGGAATACCTATCTGCACCATTAAAAGTAGCTGTCTCTTTTCACACAGCAGCAGAAGCATTCACAGGAAACAGCAGCCTTTGAGAATACAACAGTTGCACTGTTATATACCACTGATCCCTTTTGGAAACCAAAATGCTGTCTAATAAGTATGTGCTATTTGAGCCGAGGTTGGATTCCCCTTTGTTAAAATTCAGAACATAAGTCAAAACATTCTGTTTAACAACCCACCATCCTTTTAGAATTGTGCTTATTTATTTCTTTGTTTTATAAACTATTACCGTACAGGGGTATTAAACTTGCAATTAGGTAGATCATTACGTCAAACTTACTTATTTGTATTTAATCCCAATTTTACTTCAAGGACTTTAATTAAATGCTCATTTTCTTTATGGGAAATAAATGTCTGAAAAAGAAAAGACATACTGAAAAGGCATATAGATAGTATTCTTTTACTCAGGTAACAGAATTATATGAGATTAGTTAAGTATCATTTGATTACTGGCATTACATTTTCCAATAGAAAACACATTTATGTAACAAAGGTTGAAGGGAAGCCTCTATCTGTGAGATACGATTGCTCTACAGCTTCTGTGTTCTTCACCCACCTGCGGGGTCCAACAAAATCTGGAGATCCCGTTAAGAAAAAGCCCACAAGAGGAGGGAGTCTTACAAAGATAATTACCAAAGATCTTATTGGAGAGAGGAGATCATTGGTCTATCTGCAAAAACTGGGAATGTAAGGAACTCACTTTGAAATTTCATTTAGCTATTAGCAGTTTCTCAATAAATATATGGGCAGTCCTCGGCTTACAACCACAATAGAGCTCCAAATTCTGTTGCTGAGATAGCTGTTAAGTGAGTTTTGCCCCACTTTACAACCTTTCTTGCCACAGTTAAGTGAATTACTGCAGTTGTTAGGTTAATAACATGGTTGTTAAGTGAACCTGACTTTTCCATTGACTTTGCTTGTCAGAAGGCTGCAAAAGGTGATCACATGACCATGGGAATTTGCAACTGTCATAAAAATGAGTTAGTTGCCAAAGATCTAAATTTTGATCATGTAACCATGGGGATGCTGCAACGGTCATAAGTGTGAAAAACAGCCATAAATCACTTTTTTCAGTAGCTGTAACTTTGAACAGACACTAAACGAACTGTTGTTAAGTCAAGGACTACCTAAATATTATACTACAAAACTGGTTAATGATACTTTGAGGCAGTATTTGTTTTTTCTTCAGTATCCTTTGTTTTTACTGTACTTTGGTAATTAAAAAATTGGGTAGAGGTTTGGAAGCAGCCCTCCACTTCTTTGTTTTTGCTCCCCTCACTCCTCCATTCCCAAATTTTCCCAGCAACACTTTAATTCCAAATATGTAAAAAAGTAACTTAAACACGTTGGGAACATTTAATATCTTTTTTCCACTGTACTCTATAGTTTTTTCTAATCGTGTCCTCCAAGGTTGCGTTTTCATTCCTATAACTTTAATCTACTATTCGGAGAGGCTTGGCTGACTTAGTCCATTAACTATTTTACCAGTTAAAAAAACACGGGGAAATAAGTGTCATCAGAAATGTCCTCCTCTCTTGGAACTTACATATGATTTACCTGTATTATTGTGCACAATTAAATGAAAGTATTTAAAGACAAAGATTACCTTCATTGTAAGATTCAAAGTCACTGTGACCGTGAATACCAAATAAAAATAGATGACTTTCAGCATCCTTGAAAGAAGAGTTCCCTTTTTCATATTCATCTACAAAAAAGCAACAGACCTGTTTATTTCTCGATGGAAACCTTAATACGGAGAAGTGCATAACTACAAATAATGTCTCCAACCTTACCTGAAGGTATTTTGCCAGCAAAGCTGTAGCAGCAAGGCTTAATAATGGAGATACTAATAAAGCTGGATTTTCAAATTGTAACACATATCCCAGGAAGAGGGAAAACAGATAGATTTTATATATTTCATGCACCTACAGATAGGGAAATAAAACATCAACATGCCTTGATTTTTAACAAATTCTGAGTTGCAGTTGCACAATAATTTGCTCTCTATTCTTTTTTATTATTTTTCCTAAACCTACCCCAATCCTACAGTTGGAACTTACAGAAGGCAAAGAAAACAAAGCAGAATCTGAATTTAAAAGTATATAATGAATGTGTCTGAATGTACCTTCTCTGTCTGTGTGAACCCTATGACATCCAGCAGGAAAAGAGAGACTGCTTGGATAAACAGTAGATAATGACTGTATTCCCACATCATCATAAAAGTGTATGTTGAAGCACTGACCAGCAGGTAGCAAAATCTCTGAAAAAAAGAGCATAAGAAAGATGAGAAGAAAAGGGAAACGATGTTTTAAAACGCATTACAAATTACCCAATTAAACTTAGGAACTTTGAATGTATATTGGGAAAGACAAGGTAGAATTGCTTAGGAGTTTTGTTATTGTGCAGTTCCAGATGTATCTAATCAGAAACTCCACTAAATGCAATCTGGCCACTGTATGCAGGAATGCACATTTTCCTCTGATTGCTTCCTTCCACAGGTACTGCTGGGGCTGCTTGCCTGCTTCCATCGGAAGAGACATTAATTGATGAACTCTGTTTCCCCCCTAAATTTCAGCAGTGGATTGGTGAAACAGTGAGCTGTTCAGCTGCTTTTCTGCAGCCATCTCTCCTGCTCTTTTCCTGCCCCCTGCGGATTTTCATTCCAAGTGATTCATTACAAGTTTGGCTAGACAAGGTTGCTGGGTCACAGGGTGGATAAAAATCAATGATATTTTTTAAAAAATCAAGAAAATCGGATTTTTTAAAATTTAAATTGGATTTTTTTTATTTAAATCAGATTTTTTTTATTTTTATTGAATTTATTTTAATAATAAACTTTTGGGGTAAAAATCTATCGTAAGATAGTTTTCTATTTAAGATACATAAATAAATTAGTTTATTCAGCATGAAATGGAGCTTAGTTATGTAGCACAAGGCTGTATATTCTGCAACACTGGGACTATCGGTGAGTCAACAGCGGGTCAAAGGAGTAGCAGAGATGACAGTTGCTCTTTAAAAATTATGATTTAAATCGAGTTGATTTAAATCAAGTCTTTTTACTAGTGATTTAAATCATGATTTAAATCAACTCGATTTAAATCAAATCCACCCTTCTGGGTCAGTAATATGTAGACAGAATCTTTCATGGTTTTTCTTCAGTGTGAGAGGAGCGGTGGACCTTTCTTTTCTTTTTCTTAACCAAGTAAAACTGACAAAGAGTTTTGCCAGTTTCCTCCTACAGCACAAGTTATAGGGAGAATGGTAAAACAATGGGGGGTCTTCTTTTCTACCGGCCCACCAACAGGCACAACAAATGGAAAGGTGTCAAGTACGGGGGAGAAGGTGTGATACGAAACAGCGGTCACCAACTGGTGATCCATGGATCACTGATGGTCTGTGAGAAAATTATGGTGGTCCGCAGAAAAATTATTTACATTTTTTACAAAATCATATTAGTGGTCTGCGGTATTTAAAATTATGAATTTAGTGATCCCTGACATCTGAAAGGTTGGTGACCCCTGATACAAAAGATTTTTACCTCAAAGACTTGCCCACAAAATGGACAGTGATTGTCTTCCTGCCACAGGTAGGAGGGGCAAAGAAGCAGAGGAATCTAGCAACCAAGGGTTAGCACAGTCCAGATAGAACCCTAGGCTATCTCTGTAGCCAAAGCAGAGGAGGGGTTTTAAATATGGAGCAGGACTTCTTAAGCTAGCTCCCTTTACAGGCAGTTTTCACACAAGAGTCACGGAGCTTAAGACAGCAGTATGGAAGAGTCCAGTGTTTGAACTTACTCTTGCATAGCAAAATGTCGAAAGTTTATTTTGAAAGAAAGGATCAGAGGAAGAAAATTCCAACAAGAGATCATAAATATCTCAAACAATCTCAAGGTCAGATGTTTTAACACCAGAGATTGGTAGAATAGGACCACACCTTCAAAAGGGGAACTTAATAAATAGTTTCCTGGTTCAGGAAGAAAAATATGCTTTAGCAAAACACTGTTATCTTTCTAAACACCGGATGTGCAAGGAGAAAACAAGAGGCTGGTTCTATCCCCTCAAAAGCATATTGACCCAAAGTGATTTTGACCCACCCTTTTTCTACTTCCCGCCCTTTTTAAATCCATTTTTTTTTACCATTTACTTTCCTCTTAAACACTTTTCTCTTACCTCAGCAGAGGAGTTTATATTATTCTTTAGATAGCCTGTTAGAGCTGCAACTTGACAAGCAAAATATGGCAGAGCCCAATTCTCCCTAGCAGGTATTGAATAATCTATTCTTGTTGTGTCCGCTCTAAAAAGCAAGCAAGAAAAAAACCCCCAATTTACTGACACTTTATGACATAAATATTCAATTATGCAGCATGATTGACAGAAACTACATATCTGTATTAATACTTCGAAGTAGAGACACATCTGGGAATTGATCATATAGTCTTCTTATTTATGCTTTATATAGCTAGAAACAGGTTCTACTGAAAGCAGATGCCATTTTACACTTGCCAACATTGAAAAAAAATTAATATCTGAATGAGAGACAAGTAGAAAATCCCATCTTTGTAGGGTAAACTTGTATCCTCAGAGAAAGCCATGGCAACCACTTCTGTATGATACTGAGAAAGAACAGGGATATATATCCATTTAATCATTAGAATTCAACCTTGATTTGAAGCAGAAGTTACTACAATTGCCCACAATGTCAACTGCAATGAGTTTCAATGTATTCTTCATTCTACAAAGCAGCCAAATGTAACAGATGATCAGTCATAACAATGTGAGAAGTACTTTTCTTCAAATAATTCCAATCAGAAAATATTTCTTAATGGAAACTGCATATATATCTGCCAATACAACATTTCCTTAAGGTTTCACCAATCCCAGCAAGAATATAGCTGCTTGTTTTGTTAAGACAAGAAAGCAAGAATTCAGTGATAAAAGAAATAGGGTCATTTCATGTCAAGTGGTCTGGGGTCTCTGCTCACCATCATGGATTTCGATGAAATCCTGTGTGAACATGCACACATGTTCCCAATGAACATTGGTAAAGGGTTATGTGTGCCGATGCAATACTTGTAGTAATATAAGCATTTGTGCGACCCCATACTGCAGCCTTCTACAGTAAGACTCTGAGGTTCCAACAACTAGAGCCTTGGTAGTACAGTGGACTAAAGCACTGTTATTAACATCTGCTGCTTGCAATTACTGCAAGTTCAAATCTCACCAGGTTCAAGGTTGACCCAGCCTTCCATCCTTTCAAAGGTAGGTAAAATGAGGACCCAGATTGTGGGGGCAATAAGCTGACTTTGTATAAATATACAAAAGTATGAAGGCTTTTGCTTAATGCATTGTAAGCCGCCCTGAGTCTCTGGAGAAGGGCGGCATATAAATTAAAGCATAAACAACAACAACAACAACAACAACAACAACAACAACAAAACAACTTTAAGACATAATATCTCCAGCAATATTTTGTCAAGAGAAACAAAACTTGGCCATCTTGTACAACTTTTTGTGCTCTATTAAACAAAATAATAAAAACATTCTCACGAGCAATCTCCATCTGGATAATTTGAAGCAAAGTTGGCCAAAAATAGTGCGGCTTGAAAAAAAAATTTAAAGTTTGGCTTTTTATATTTTATGCCTATATCTCTGCAAGTATTGCATCGGCACACATAATACTTTACCAATGTTCATTGGGGACATGTGCATGTTCACACAAAATTTCATCAAAATCCATGATGGCTGAGTGGGGCACTTTTCTGAAATCAGACCACTTGACATGGAATGACCCAATATCCTCGGAGGGGAAGAAATGATCATCTACATTTCCAAAAGCTTTGCCGGCTCAAACTAGCCAACTCAAACTTACCCAACTTTTTAGTATTAGCATATATTTATTAATGTATCCCTTTGATGTCTACCAAGAAGAAATTCCAGAAAGTTATCTGAGAATTCTCTGGCAAATCCAAACTACCCAGAGCTGCTCTCATCTTTACTTTGTCCTAAAAGTTGAAGGTGGCAAACCTGGCATTTTAAGATTGTACTGCAGAAAGAAAATCAATATTTGTTTTACCTGTTAATAATGAACCAGGCAACAGTCAGCATCCCTGCTAGCCAAGTCCCACTCATAAGCCAGCTGGTTACGAACAATGCCGTCACATAGATGCCCTGTAGCCCAAATACTATGCCAATGTAAAAATAGACTGGCTCAATAACTTCCTGAAAAGTAAAAGATAAATGTTGTTTTATAAACATATAGTAACTGAGTGATAGTTTTGTTGTTGTTGTTAGTTGCGAAGTCGTGTCCGACACATCGTGACCCTATGGACAATATTCCTCCAGGCCTTCCTGTCCTCTACTATCCCCCAGAGACCATTTAAGCTCACACCGACTGCTTCAGTGACTCAATCCAGGCACTTCATACTCTGGCGTCCCCTTCTTCTTTTGCCCTCAATCTTTCCCAGCATTAGGCTCTTCTCCAGTGAGTCCTTCCTTCTCATTAGGTGGCCAAAGTATTTGAGTTTCATCTTCAGGATCTGGCCTTCTAAAGAGCCGTCAGGATTGATCTCCTCTAGGACTGACCGGTTTAATAGTTAGAACATCTCAACTGAGATTTACCAAAGGAAACAACTTCCTGTAGTCCCAAGGGACCATCAACTTATGTAAACAAGGAAAGACCAAATAATGACTCTAAATGTTTTCATCTGGCTGCTGAAAACTCTCATAAAAATAATTCCAGTTCTGCCACTTTTTGAAAGTCCTTTTTCTCCCATAAGCGAGGACAACTTGTATGACTTAATTTGTACATACTGGTACATTATTTCAAATACAAGTTTTGTCTTTGTCTGTAGACCCTGTAAACCACTTAGAGAGGGCTGCAAAGCACTGTGAAGCGGTATATAAGTCTAAGTGCTAGTCCCAAAGGTGCTTTTTTTCTTTGAAGATGTTTCGCTTCTCATCAATGGTTGTCCCAAAGGTGCTTTTTCAGGAGGCAACTGGACTTCCTTGTTTTTTTCTTTGAAGACGTTTCACTTCTTGGATGAGAAGTCCCTCATCCTGTTCACAGTCCCTCAGTCTGTTTGGGGGGGGGGGCTGGACCAGCTGGGTGAGCATGGCTAGGTGGTCATGTGACTGGGTGGTCATGTGATTGGGTGGGCATAGCCAATTTAGCAGTCCAAACAATACACACAAATTAAACTTTAATTTGTTATGCTCCTGGGAGTGGGAAGCATGTTAGTGAAGGGATGTGGCTACCTTGGGGTGTGTATGAGGGACTTGTGTGTGTGTGTGTGTGTCTCTCTCTCTCTCTCTCCCCCCAATTCTCTCTTCCTCTGGAGGCTGGGGAGGCCAGTTTTTGACCTTCCGGGTCTCCAGAAGGTGGACGGGGGCCGGCAAGGCAATGTGGGCGGGGCAGCCTCATGGTCTTGCATGTGCCAGATTAATGGCTTCGGCGGGCTGTATCCGGCCTGTGGGCCGTAGTTTGAGGACCCCTGCATTAGACTCTGAAAGGATAGTATAGATTCAATTTACCAACTATATCATGTTTAATCCTCAACCATGAGATTGGAAATATTTAGGCTGCTTCACATACAACAGTAATTCTCACACTTTGATCTGCTTACTACTGATGACCTAAGAAAGCTCCCCTAGGTAGTTCACTGCAGCCAGAGCCTGCTTGCCACATCAAGCCCCATCTCCTCCCTACATTCATGCTACCGGTAGACAGCTGACTTGCAAAAAAGATCAGTAATTAAATACTGATTCAGTGTGAAGTGCATAAATGATAATACAATAGGAGTGTTAGCCTTCTGAAAAATGCCAACATGGAATAGTCTAAAATGCGATTACCAACTGCCAATCTATGCCTTGCTAGCAAAACCTGTAGACTCACCCAAATAATCCCCTCCTCTGCCTCCCCACCCCCCAAGTGCCGCTAGGGATTATAATAATGAATATCTCAAAATGAAGTTTCACTGGCCAAGAACTCCTTAGCCCTAACTTCTTAATAGATTGCTATGACAGATCATTCATGGCCAGAAGATTCTGCTCAGACTTGTTATTCTGGCATAGCATATATAGTATAAAATAATTCATTAAATAAAGTAAGGAGATTGTTTTAATTTATGTAATGCTTCTCTTAGCTGCTCAGGGATTTTAAGAAAGGGTTAGGAACTGAAGTCCACACGAAAGAGTGGCTTGACAAAGATTAGCTAATGAATTCATGATAAAACCATGATATGAATACAGAATTTGCCAACCCAGAACCTCAACACTTCTTTTAGGCAGTAAACTTTCCTGGTTCCGTCACACAAGATGATAAAAAAAGAAAAGATGCATACTTCACTGCCAGATGCCTGATATAAAATGCTGGCAATCAATTCCGGATACAAAGTCATCTGTCGTACAGTGTTCATTGTTTTTAGTGACAGGGTCCTGTTGTCATGAATAAGCTGATGAATGCCTGTGAATGAAGGAAGCACGGAGATATGGTACTTTTTTTCCTCTTATTATACAAATATTTATTTATTTATTTATTTATTTATTTATTAGATTTCTATACCGCCCTACTCCCGAAGGACTCAGGGCGGTGCACAGCCAAACAATAAAAACACATACAATACAAAATTTAAAAAATAGAATAAAATCAAATTAAATAATTTTGGCCCCGACAAATTTAAAACCCCAAACTTTTAAAACCAATTTAAAATTGAATATATAAATACTAAAAGATATTTAAAATTTTAAAAATAGTTGTATCCAAGAAAACAAATAACCTAGATGTCCACATTATTTATTTATTTATTTATATCTGAAAGACATATCTAGCTGTCCCAATTTGTCATCTCGGCAAGTGTCTCTATTTGGCTAATACAAATGATAATATTAAACAAACAAACAAATAAGGCAACCATCAGCATAGCACGGACGGAGGCATTGTGGACATTCTTAAGAAGCTCTCAACATAGAACAGCCAATGGAAAATCAACAGGGTCTGGGCCATCGGGACCTGGGGGGAAATGATATTTGATTGGGAAGATGTTCCAACAGATCAAATCAGCTAACATGGTTTCATACACGGAGCTCAAAGCACGTCCACTCTGTCAGATCTGTTCAGATGAGCAGAAACTATTGGAGATAAGTTGTCACACAAGTTTGTCTTATGCTCCTACCATATTTCTGTGTGCTACCCTATAAAGGCTACTTTGATAAATGCCCATTATCATCACGCACTATAGAAATCTCTTAGATGCCATCTCATAAAAATCAGGAGGAATATAAAAGACATTTTATTTACTGGAGATAATCTATTCTTGCTTGTTTCTGAAAGTAGATTATTCAACCAGATTCTTTCTAAAGCGTGTTTGAGAAGATGACTGCACCCCATGAACATGGCAATTTGACAGAAAGTTATATCCATAGGCTTACAATTCCAGGGGACAAACTTCATTATGTCTATCCTGAAATCTAGCTGTGTACTTAATGTTCGGTGTCAGATCTGGCACTAGACTTCAGAAGGCAATACAATCTAAAGAAATACTCTATTGGGAGCCAATGTGGTAGAGTGAATAGGATATTGGACTAGAACTGGGGAAACTACGGCTCAGATCAACATCAGCCATGGGAAACTTAATTGGATGACTTTGGGTCAGCCCAACTATTTTGTAGAGTTGTTTGGCTGCAATTGTTTTTAAATTTCAATGCTTTTAGTAAATCTTAAGTCTCCCTAATTGTCTATCAACTCTTTTTCTTTTTCTTTTCTTCTTTTAGGAGCTCATGTGAATCATCTCATAGTGATTCATATGGGCTTCTCTAAATCACCATCCAGATTTGAGGCACATCTCCCTAGTCTAAGCCTAGCCCACGGTTAGAGAGATGTGCCTCAAATACTAATAGGAGATGTGCCTCAAATCTGGATGATGATTTAGAGAAGCCCATATAAACCACTATGAGGTCATTCAGATGAGTTCCTAAAAGAAGAAAAGAAAAAGAAAAAAAAGTTAACCCATGGTCTAGGTTTACATAAATAATTGGGATTAATGAAATTACAAATGAGATCCTAGGGAATAAGAGATAAAATGGGTAGATAAAAGCTTTGTTAATCTCCACTGCATTGAAGCTCACATGTAAATTTAAAGTCACATAAACTTTCATTCAATCTGTATAGCCTGAAGATTTGCAAGCATTTAGCCCTAGAAGGTAATGCATATTGTGCAATCCTGATTTCTCTTCCATTACCATTTTAGCAAGTGTATTTGCCTTACCTTTTTTAAAAGAGGAGGCTTTTAACAGTTCTTTATAAAATGAATAGTAAATGGCACTGTCACCCTGAAATGTGATTTCTCGTTCAAGTTCCTAGAGGAAAAAAGAGTTATCAGAAAATGTAAGCTAGGAATAACATGAATCCCCCAATCCCTTTCTCAAAACACAAAGATTATGCTTTTAAAACTGAACAGTCTACTAATTCACAAATTTCCCCCAAATTTTCAAATGGACAATGAAAAAAGGGACCATTAGATTGGCTTAAAACATCAAATCACTTTTTTTTGAAGAATTAACTAACTCTGCAGACAAAATAGTCCTAAATTTCACCCACTCTCATTATGCTTTTGAAAGAGGATCTTTCAAAATGCACACAGTGGTCTTTGAGCATCAAATTTTATTTTACAAAAAATTATGTTCCTCATCCACCCAGTTACCTATTCGTCTTTGACACAGTAGATGGATTATATTTATAACAAATTATAGGAAAATATGAGTTTGCTACTTCTGTTTATGAAAGCTAGATAGCTCAAGGTTACAGCTACCGTTTCATAAGGACATAGCAGCTACCGGTAACTTACAATAATGTGAATGTTCATATGATATCAGTAACAAATTGCCCTTTTTCATCTGGCCTATTAAGTTGCTTAAACTAGAAGAAGCTCTGAAAAGCTTGAGGGAGATATTTTCCAACTTTGCTTCAGATGCTTAAAAGCAGAAGTTTCAGTCCCCAAACGGGATGCTTTTATAGGCTGACCAAAACTTTCTGGAGCTATGGCCTCAGCTTTCTGTGATATTAGTATCACAGGATTAATACTAGTGAGACAGCTCTGCTTGTCTTAATGGTTCACAGGAAACTTAACAGGCCCCAAAGTATATTTTAAAGGCTGAAAATCTGGTTTTTGTACCTGTGGTGCATCCATTCATGCTTCAATAAGAGAATGCCAATAAAACAGAATACAAGCTATAAATCCATTGTGAACGGAGGTGAAAGGGAACCTCTTTACAGGAAAATAATTAAGGATGTGGTAAGAAAAACTAAGAAACCTACTTTATACAGCTTATCATTCCACCTTGACTCTAAACTGGGTGTAGGCAATCATGGTTTATCATATGCTTTGGATTAAGTCCCTCATTGTCCATGACCAATGGCCAGGTTAAGTACTCTTTGTCAGATGGCCTAGACATTGTAGGAACTGCCACATCTGTTTATACATAAACCAACCTTGTGCTTGTATAAAATAACAAGACTTTATTGTTTGAGATTCCTTACCGGCCTACCAGAAAACCAGAATTTGCGTTCATGGTATGTTGAAAGATATATGGCATACATCATTCCACTTATGATTGCTGTAATGCAGCCAAAGAAAAGCTTTGTAAAATGTGGAATTAAGACATCTGAAAAGAAATATAATAAACATCAAATAAAGTAACTGAATATCTATGTTTTCGTATCAAGTCCAATGTCCAATGTTTGTCAAGGCCCTCTGCAATGCAATAAGCAGGTGGCAGCAGAGGGCTAATGTCCAATCAGTCGATAAGTACAAAACACCAGAATATATAACACCAAGCTCTGTAGACACAAGAATGGAGGATGTGGTACAAGTCCTGACCTGATGTAGAGAACAAAGAGGATGACTTGATGGAGAAAGGGAAGATCCATTATCAAAGCATCAAAAAGGAAACACTGCTTGCAAGAGTATGTTACCATAGCCAATCTAAATTTTAGTCTTCTGTGAAGTCTTATTTCTTGATTTCATCTGACTCAGACTGGCAAGAGCCTCAGACTCAATCCAGGCAAAATGGAGTGCCTAATTATTTCAGGATAATAATAATTTTGAGTCTCTGTGCTTGCCTGGGAACAGCAGACTCACGAGTTGGGATTCAAGTAGAGCAGATGAAAGTTGTGGCCAGGAGACCTTTGGCCTAACACTGGCCAGAGTGCCAGTTCTAACTTTACTAAAAACAGGATGCATTGGGAACAGTCACTTGTACTTTGTCATCTAGCAATTGAATTACTGTATTGTAATTTGCTCCGTGTTGGATTCTCTTTGAAGACCATCTGGAAACTTCAACTGATCCAAAATGCAGCAGGCCATATGCTTACTGGATAGCTAGGTATTGCCAGGTTACACCACTGCTGAGGGACCTGCATGGCTTCTGATGTTTCCAAGTGCAATTCAAGGTGTTGGTTGTTACCTATAAAGCCTTAGATCATTCAGGTCCTGGAATCTAAGAATCTGCCTTTCCAAGATAAATTCTGTCCACCCAACCCAGGGAGCTGGGTGATCAGGGAGTGTCTGCTAAAGATCCCTCCCATCATAAGGTGCAATAAGAAAGATCTCAATTGCAGGCATTCTATGTGTAAGGTCCCTCCTAGGGAACACCTTGATCCTTGAGGTGAGTATGGTTCCCACTCCTATAGTCATCTGAAATATAGTAAAAACATCACTTTTTCAGAAAGTCCTCAGAAATAGTTTCTGTAAAGACATCAGCACTAATACGGCTTTGTATTATAATATTGCTATTGTATTTTGTATTTTATATACTATCTAGAATCTTTTGGGAATTACATAAATCTTGTAATGAAACAAGCAAAATATTTAGAGAGTTTGCTCCATGGACATTCATGAACTCACAGATTATAATTGGATGTTACAGACATCAAATAATATACAATTGGGTAAATCAGGTTTGTTAGCCTATTTTGGTATCTGTTCAGTTGTCTCAAATCAAATAGGACTGTTTATTTGCCTGAATGGTGAAATAGACAAACCCAGGGGACATGGAAATCAAGGCACATTCCTTGAAAGCAGACATCTGTAAAAGTTTAATCTTCATTCATATCTTGCTAAAAACTCAAACACGCAGCTTGCTTGCATTTTACATAGTAGTAACTTGTTATACACCCACATCTGTCTCTGTTTAAATGATCTGTATTTAACCTAAATTGTTGGGAATTTGTGCATAGCATATCAATCAATTTAGACCTCGTGTTGGGTTTTTTTTTTAAAAAAGATTTTTTAGAATTATATTTAAGCTATGCTAGGTAAATAAAATAGATTTAGGTGTTCTCAACAGCCTGTACCAAACAAACACTGGGGGCAAATTTACATATTACATCCCAATAAGTATAATGAAGTTCTAGCATCAGAGGAAAACAAAAGCGACAAAGGGACATGATTTTGAGAAGAAAACTATTAAGTATTGTTATAATCTGTTCCAGATCAGAAACTGACTACATGTAATCCTTGGTTAGCATCCACTCATTCTATGGCTATTCAAATTTGTGATGGCTCTGAACAAGATGTATTTAAAACTTGGTCCTTGAAGTTCCAGCAACCAAAGTGCCCCTGTGGTCACATGATCATGATCCTTGCATTCAGCAACTGACCCCAATTTCTGACCATTGTAGTGTCTCACGGTCACATGATCGTGATTTCCAACCTTCTCTGCCATCTTCACACAAGCAAAATCAGTGGGGAAGCCAGCGGAAGTTGAAAATCACAGTCACATGAGGTCTGTGCTTAAAGTCACTTGCTTAATAACTTGCTTAACAATGGTAACTGGGGACTGCCAGAACTGCCTCCCTAAGCAGCCCACTGATGAGATGTCACGCTTTACGACCACCACTTAAAAATGGAAATGCCAATCCAAATTACCATCATTAAGTGAGGACCATCTGCATTTCAACAGCAGAGACTGTTATTTTTAAAAAGAGAGAGAAAAAACCTTTTGAATTCTTATACACAGAGCAAGTTCAGCTATTATGCTGTTAACACAATAGAGCAGGAACTCCATCCTTGCAAGGCTGCCAGAGACAGGGCATGTGATCTTTCCTCTTTTGTGGCTCTTCTTGGTGGATTTTTTTAGAAAATTAATTTGCCAAAAAGTTTAGTAATTATTCTGTGTTGACTGTAAAATATAGATTCATAACCTCAAAGCGGCTTTTGGTTTTGAAGACTAATCACTTTCGACAGGCTTGTGTACAAAGTGGAATAAATACATGGCATACTTTAGTATCTTTTTCCAGAATAAAGATTTCTTATCCATTCTACATAGAAAAATATATTTCTATATCTAATTCCTTAAAAACAAATATATATGGAATTGAAACACTGACAGAAAAGTGATATCACTCACATTTTAGGGATCTTTTGGATTGTTTGCCTTTTTCGTTGTTTTCTTTGAGAGTTTTTTCTTCAACTTCTGCACAGCTTGGATTCTTTCTTTGCCTCAGTTCAACAGCTTTTGAACAAAATATCCAGAAGTTAAAACCTAATTACCTTAGTTGTAGGTCAGATGCATGAATAGGATTGCATTGTTATATATCTTCCAAACAATTCCAATAGTATTTACCCATCTAGACATATTTTTAGGGATGTAAGAGCTTCAGTATTCAATGACGTTTATACTCAAATAAGTGGCTAGAATAGAATAGAATAGAATAGAATTCTTTATTGGCCAAGTGTGATTGGATACACAAGGAATTTGTCAAGATTCTTGACAAGATACACTTGTCAAGAATCACAAGGCACAACACCCAGTGACAGTCATATGGTACAATAAGCAATCGAATCATACTAGGAAATAAAACATCTAACACACAAAATTTTTTATTTGGTTAGAATAAAGATTCCATTTTGAATGTAATTTATACAGCCTGTTGTGTCTGCATCATCCTCATGACTAAAATGTTCATCCTTGAGTACAGGGTAATCAAAAATCACATTCCTTTTCTAGTGTTTCCCCACAATCTCCACAGTATGTGAGACGATAGCTGAGTAAAAGACTCCAAGTCACCAAGAATAAGCTTCCATCCTTGAGGATGGAACTACAGCTCTGCCTCCCTAGTCCTATTCCTTAGTTCTGGAGTCAACATTGCAACAGACATGCTTGGAAGTCTATTTGATTGACTGAAGTTGAACACTACATTACACTGGCTATTCATTCCTAGTAAAAGCTTTGCAGGGCAAAACCACTCTCTGAACTGATCTTGTAAACAATTTGTAAATTGGGTGCATCAGAAAAGTAAAAGTATAGTTTTTAAAAAGTGTAGTGTCTCCCCCATGGCTCAGTTAAATACTCCTCTGCTATTTGGAATCAGCAGAGATCTTAACCAGCACTGTTCCTGCTGTCAATCCTAATAGATTTTGTTCTGGCAAGTAACTGGAGAATAGTGTCCACATTTCCTGTGTGAAGAAGGATGTCCTGCTCCCTCCTCCGAGCTTCTAACATCAATATCTGGTAGGAGAACTATCTACCAATCACAGCACTGCTGGTCAGTGGTTTTGACAGATGGCAAAATCTGGGATTTTATCCCATTGTAGGACATCATTTCCTTTGACATCTATGCTAGTCTGGGGATCAGTTGCCTAGGCTCAGGATGTGGCAGATGGAAGGAGAGAAAAAACTCTTCCCCCTGTCAGAGCTCTGAGATAGGTCAAGGCCTGGATAAGTCCAAGTAAATGACAGACTGAACAGCCACTGACAGGCAAGGTCAAGGATGTACAAATTAACTCTCTGTGTGTGTGTGTCTACCTTCTCATAAACTTTCACACTTGTAAGCCATTGTTCTGATTGCTTCTGAATGTAGGTTTATCACTCTTCTGGGAAATCATTCAACCTCTGGTCAATATCAGCCTGAACAATAGCTGACAGACCTAGTGAGAGAATTGCACTAGCACGCACACTTTTTTTCTACTTCACTGTCATGCCCTCAGCGGTGTCTGAATCTGTGTGGGAAGATGAGTTGGAACAAGAGCAGAGAGGGCGGCTCTATTGGCCTTGGAGGAAACTGGGAAAGGGCAAAGTCAGTCTGGGCAAGGCTTTTCAGGATTAGAAAGGCTTGCAGACAGGGAGGAGCAGGAGAGACAGAGCTTAGGTGAAGAGCAAGGACCACCCCCTCCTGATCCTAGAGCACGGAGAGAAGAGAGAATGCAGACCAATGCAAAGACCAATGCCGATTATGAGGGAGGAGAGTGCCCCGCCGCCCTTCACAAGGCACATCTGGGGACTGAGATGTAAGGAGGTGCCGGTGGGAGGGGCATTTGTCGAGAACAAGCATTGAATCTGTGGAGCCTCGTGTGCACTTGCCGACACCTGGAAATTACTGTGCTCTGTTTTGTGGGGCTTGCCTGGTTTGCCTGCTTCGCTGAACTTCTTGCTCCGGTTACTGTTTGGCTAACCTGGCTTACTAGACTGCTGGCCCTGGTTACTGTTTGGTTAACTTACTGGACTACTTGCAGCCAGTTGCTGCTGAAGGTGCGTGTGAGAGCTTTGCTCCAGGACTTGTAGTAAACTTGGGGATGTTTGGGGGCAAAGTTGGAGCATTAATGGGGAGTTAGACCTATTCTCTGGCTGTGTTGCTTTCATGCCACGCCCCGGGTCATGACATTCACTGCATAGTTTCCCCTTCATAACATTGAGGCAGATGCTATGTTTGCTGATTGAGAGATCAGTTTAGAAACTTCATTGATGAAAAGGAGAGTACAGTTTGAAAAATGAACTTTCCTGCTCCTCAAAGTAGACTAGACCTGAAAGACCGTGCCTGAGAACTGGACAGGCAGGCTCATACCAGCACAAACTTGAAGTGGCTAATAAATGCTAGGCTGATCCCACACCATAGATGTCCTCTGCTATTGACACAAACAAAATAGTGGGAACAACGGATTGTACATATGGTAAAATTGCTACAGTTGTTGACTCCTTAAGATGGAAAACACTGATACCAGAACAGCTGAGAATGACTTTTAAGTTGCCTCAAGTAAGGGTTGAAAACAAGATGAAAGCAACCTAATGGAGAAACATCCAAAACAAGATCCTATCAGGCTCTTTCTTAGTTGTAGTTAGGTGCAAATAAAGAAAGGGCTGTATTGTTATGAGATCAAGTCACAACGAATGCAGGGGGACTATATAATTAATTTATAGCATTCATGTCACAGAATGCTATGATTGCCACCAACATGGACCATTTTAAAAAAATGAATAGATGAATTTGCGGAAGATAAAGCTATCAACAAAATGAGAAGGGAATGGTGGACAAGCTACCTGCTTATTCTGATCCAACCTGACTCTTTGGCTAAGTGAATTAAAGGCAATTATTATTTCTTAGCCCAACCTAACTCATGAGGATGTCAGGAAAAAATGGAGAAGTGAGTGCTTGTCTTCTCTATCTATCTGTCTTCTTGGCTTTCTAGATACAAATCCAACATATGAAGGAATATTACAAGAGTACAGTTAAGTAAGGTTATTGTATAAGTAAGAGGTATGTGCTCATTCTTTCTCCACAGTGTCATTTCATTATTGCCAGTTTTCCCTCAAATGATTTTTCTCCCTCTTCCTAATTCTATCAGAAATAAGTCCAATGAAAAAAACCTACCAAAGACAAATGATTCCTTTAATCACATTAAGGATAAAAGAGTGCTGCTTCAGCCTCTAAGATAGTGGGCACATTTGGAAGATTAAGAACATGATACAGACCGTCTCTAAAATGGCTGCCATAATAGGCATAGTCAGTCATGTTATGAGTGTCCTATTCTGTCAGGAAATGGGCAAAATTATTCACTATTACTCCCTCTTCCCTGCTCCCAGGATATTCTGAATCTTTTTCAGGAGATAAGGGACACCAATTCTTTCCAAACAAAGAATTCAAACTCAGCCTCTCTCTTGTATGCATTTTCATTCATAAATATATCTATGCCAACTCAAAGATTAATCTAGATTTTAGAATCTAGATTTTTTTTTTTATTAATGGATGAGTATAGATTGTCTGCTACCTGTGTGACACTATCTGGAACTACCTACAGCCACATAAAGTGATTTAAGAAAGCACAAAACCATTTAAAGATCTATTCTAATTCTTCTACTCTACATTTGCTTCTGTTATTCATGTTGCTAATGTTATTGCTCATAGAGCTAAAAAGTCATCCTCAGAGCATACATGAATACAACAGGAATTAGGAACTCCAAGGTTTGCAGAAAAATACATATGATTTGAGATGTGAAATAAGAGAGACAGTCAAGTGAGGACTAGGTGTACTTCGCAGCCGAAGAATGCCGTCAGGTAGAAACTTGAAAACAAGGATAGAAGGATAAATCTCAATAGGAAGCATTGTATTCTACAGAGGAACATTTTGATGCCTGTCCTACTTGTGAATTTCTTTCCTGATTGAGAAGATCAAGTTACTCTTTTCCTTCAGTTCTCTACAGATGGTAGAAACAAGAAAATGGAAACATTACAAGGTCCATGTTGCATATCAAACACAGAGCAGCTGGCAAAACTACTGTACACAATGGTTTTGCCAGCCTCTGAACTGTTATCATAATATACACACATGCTGTTTCTCTTTAATTTGATGCTGATTTAAAAAATATAAGGAAAATGTTGTTTTCATTCTTGAGTATTGTTTAATAAAGTGAAACGAAAGTTGAGCAAGGTTAAGTGCTAAAAATAGAACTGAGATTTTTCACTCTGTAACCTAGTTAGGTTTATTTATATATTTCAGAAGTAGGAGAAACTAGAAGCAATTAGTCATTACCCATAATGGTTCAATGAAATGTTCACGTCCACAGGCAAAATACCTCTATATATCAGATATTGTGATAAATGCCTGTTATAACAATGTATTAATACTCTGTCAGCAAGCTTCAAGGGACACCTGATTTGTCACTGCTAAAGCTACATTAGAGAACACTAAATATTGGCCTTATCCAGCAGACTTGACTTGATGAACTAAAGCCCAAGAAACTCCATTGACACAAGCAAAAATAAAAACCCTCACACATTTCAGAATATCACAATGAGTCATAATGACAGTGAATAGTTTTGTGCTTAGCATTCTATGCTATGTTTATTCAATAAGCTATAACTCTTTATGCAATATGATAAGACATAAGCTAGAATTTCTGAACCTTAACAACAAAAATCAAACAACCCACACAATGGCTCTATGCAGCTTCTGAACCCAGCCAGTATGGTGTGGCTTACATATAATCAGATATATGTACTGTACTGTACTGCTATTATTAAATAACTGAGGGTCAGAAATCGTTGCCCTTCTTCTGTAATGCCTCCAGTAGATGCAGAGATGTAAAAGCAACATTCTGAGAGTTGAACTGGTATATCAAGCTGCTATCTATAAACAATGCATGATCCTTGAGCAGGAAACAGTCACAAAATTAAGCAACCTTGAAGAAATTACAACACACCACACCACGAAGAACGTGTTATACAGTGTTCAACAACAGAAAGGAAAGTATGCTTTCTCTTAACAGTATCATAGGTGTTATAAATGAGACACAGGAGCAGTTGTTCAGTGCAAATGATTTGTATTGACAACCTATGACAGTTGAATCCTAATTTCTCTCCTCCCCCTTTCCCCCCTTTCTTTTAGATGTGGAATATATCACATGAGTTTCAATGAAGTTGCTCAAAACCAATTCCTTGGGCTATTTCAAATGGGAATAGTCCATTTAAATTTCAAGAGTAATTAATCCCAATGTAACAGGACTCACAGATGTCAAAGGCCCGAAAAAAACCCACACAAATAGAGAGTAGGGTATATATGCCTTCCATTATCCCAAACATCAAATACGCTCATCTGCAAGATACTCAAAAATAAATGGATAGATTTGCTTCTTTGGATAAATTTCCCAAACTAGGCAAATTTTAAACTTCAATGAAAGAAATTTACTGCATTTGAGATTATGGGAAAGAACAGTTCTGTGGCAGATTGCAACAGAAAATTATGATTATTGCAACAAAAATTATGATAATCTATACATAGACTGAACACATGTTCCTACAAAAAGAACTTTTTCCATGAAACAAATCTATTCAGTTCAAAGAATGAATAAACGGCTTACTAAATAACATCTATGCCATATGGTTTGAAAGATTAATTGAAAAAAATAAGATGTAGGGACAACAAGCCATCCTTCTCAGTATTTCTTCTGTAATTTGAAAAAAAAAATTATTTAAGATATAGAGAAGGAAATTTTTGAGGATAAGTTTGAAAACATCCATGCTTTGAATTAACATATTCCCAGAGACCAATAGGTTCTTGGGTTGTTGTTTTGTTTTGCAGGTGGGAAAAATCCTTTCATTGCTACAGTGGAAGCTTTTTAAAACTTTAACTGAATATAATAGAGCTATAATGTACAGCTGAGAAAAGCGTTTCCACATAAATATTATATTAATATGCACATATATATATATCTAGCATTGTGCTGAATGGAAAAGTTTCTATTTTTATATAGTATTTCCATATTATATTCCCTTATACAGCCTTAACATAATTAATGTAGCTATAATCAACAAAACAATATTTTTGAGAGGGAATTTACATATATATTGCAGGGGCATAAGAGATCCACTCATGCTTCATCTTTTCCACAAAAAAAGCTAGACAGAAGCACAAATTCCATTGTGGTTGACAGAATGACAGAGGATCATTTGCAGGTACATTTGGTATGTGCACCTCTGCCACTTATTTTTCATCCTGCTCTGCTTTTCACAAAGCTTTAGGAGCAAATCAGCTCAGAAACCAAACGCATCGGAGGGTTACTGGTATCAAAATGATTTGCTGACGCTTGGAAGTTATTTGCAAAAAAAGAGAGGCTGAAGTTACTGCTAACCTTATTGATTTGTAATAGGATGCATAATTATTTTTTAGAAATGCCACCTTCCTCCGCCCTTTTCCTAACTCTAATGCCAGTAAAACCAAGACTTTGCCTATACCCAAATTGCTCTTTGCATCTGAGCGGCCTCCTTCTGGGGCTAATTTCCAGCGCTTCCCTCTTTCTTTCTATCACAGACTAGAGTCGATTACCCCCCCGTCCCCCGCCCAGGTCTCTGGCTGGCCCGAGGCGGAATGAAAAAGGAGACACAACGCGCGCACAGAAATCTCACCTTCCTCCATCTCCAGTTTATCACACCGAAAGAAACCCGAGTTCAACGCGCTTTCTTCCGCCGCACTCTCCGGCATTAAAGCAATCGGGACTCTCGTCTCTCTTTTCCAGCGTCAGGTCGCACTAAAGCAACCCCCAGCCTTGCCCCGATTACAGAAGGAGATACTTTTCACTTCCTGTTAGCTCCCCGATTTTCGATCTTTTCCTTTTCTGCAAGGCGATGCGGAACGGTCCTTCCCAGAGATCGAAGGCACACGCGGAATCGCATTCGCGTAGGTACTGAGGCCAAGCCAGTACTCTGTATTCGACTTCCGCCCTGAGACACTGCCTACTGCTTGCTCTAATTCCTGTGATGTCAGTTCATTCATTAATGAATCCAAAAGAAAGAATCTCCTTTTGAAAACGCAGAGAATTAGTCTTAACTTGTAAAAAGATGAGAGGAGAGAGAGGGGTGGAGAGTGGGGGGTGGGAGAGGTTATGTATGTATGTATGTATGTATGTATGTATGTACATACAAAAGGCAATCCTTGGACCCAAAAATTTTGGATAACTTTTTTCAGTACCATTAATATTTATATGAAACTTTAATATTTATATGAAAACTCTTGAGGTCATTCAACAGCACATGGATCGGAGGTAAAGGTAAAGGTTTCCCTCGCACATATGTGCTAGTTGTTTCCGACTCCAGGGGGCGGTGCTCATCTCTGTTTCAAAGCCAAAGAGCCAACGCTATCCAAAGACATCTCCGTGGTCATGTGGCCGGCATGACTAAACAAACGCCAAAGGCGTACAGAACACTGTTACCTTCCCACCAAAGGTGGTCCCTATTTTTCTACTTGCATTTTTTACGTGTCATCTGACTCTTGATGGGTTAGCACTTTCTCGGACAGAGCTGGTACACAATTTGGATGTCTTCCATGACTTCTGCTTAAGGAGTAAGTGACAACCATGGCCTTATTTACCAATTGTGCCATTCATGGCTGAGGAGACCTTGCTCATAGTCACTTATGCCTTGTTCTCTTCCCAGCTGGATTACTGCAAGACACTCTATGAAGAGATGGCCTTGAAAATCATCCAGATATTATAACTGGTCCAGAATATGGTGATCCAAACAGCGTTAGATGTCCCTTCCTTATATTAGACCATAGTTGCCCAACCTACATTGGCTTCTAGCTATTTTGTCTGTTGTCTTTTATTGTTTCTTTTGGGTTTATTATATTTTAATGAGCCTCCCAGAGTTGTGACACATAAGATTGGTGGCCATACAAGCCTTTTAAATAAATAAATAAATAAAGTACAATTTGAATAAAATATTGTAATACATAACAATGTAATATTAAAATATATTGTAACATTTCTATAATATTGACTACTGTTCATACCCCAAAATTGTTTACATTCCCAAAATAGTTTACAAGCAACATTAACAGTCTGAGTAAAGAGATATTTGTAAAAACATATATTATCCTTCTTCCTTATTCTCTTAAGTACTGTATTTCCACAAGGCAATGAGATCAATCGATGTCAAAGCTAATTTTGACACATTACCTTGTTTAATATTTCAAGGTTCATCTATGGTCAAGGGTTATGGTCCACAAGAAAATTTTGGTGGTCCGCACTAAATCAGGGCTCCTCAAACTACGGCCCCTGGGCTGAATTTGTGCAATGAACATTTGTGTTGCTGCAGAGTCTCCCCCTTTGGGGTCATTTTGTGTGGGTCAGAGGGGGGCAGAAATTCCAACTTGGGGTCTGCTTCAGCCTCCTGGTGCGGGGCTTTGGGAGAAGGCTGGGGGGAAGTGCCGCTGGTTGCGAAGAGCCGGAGGGCCTTGTTCCAGTGGGACTGCATCATGGTCTGGAACTGGCTGACCATCTCAGCCCGCTGAGCCTCCAGGCACCGTTACCTGGCCTTGCACTCCTGCAGGTCTTCCCTCTGCCTGGAAAGCCTATGCTCCTAGTCCTCAGTGAGGTGCTTCTCCTGAGCCTCCTTCTTGGTCAGATCCAATTTGAACTGAGCTGTTTTGCCAACTCTTTCTCATGGTGGCAGCTTAGCTCCAACAACTGCTGCCTATTGGGGCCCTAAGGAGCCTCGGCAGGCAAGTGAGGAGGGGCTGGGAGGGGAGGGGCAGGTAGAGGCCGGCAAGACGCCCCTCAATGTGACTGACATCGAGTTGACCATGCCCACCCAGTCACATGACCACCTTGCCACGCCAACCCAGCCGGTCATTAGGCAGATCATATTAGTGGTCCGCGGGATTTAAAATCATGAATTTAGTGGTCTCTGAGGTCCGAAAGGTTGGTGACGCCTGGATTATGTAACATCACTTCTGTGACAGCTGCTCTGGATGCCAATCAATTTCTAGACAGAACTCAATGTCATTCCTGATCTTTAAAGTATTAAATAGCTTGGAGCCAAAGAACTTCCATATGCCCGCCAAGGTACTTTAATCATCATCAGTGGCTCTGCATACTTCTCTCAATGGGCGATCGGCTATCAGTGAGATGATTTTTCCATTTGTACCTAACTTTGCTGCTTCTGCAGATATTGCTGGGTATATAAAAGAGCAAATAAAATAAATATAATAATTCGTCAGATACCAAATGCAGAAAGGAGGCAGCAAAAGCATCAATGAGATTTGGAGCATTATCAAAGCTAGACAATGCACTGTGGCAGAAGAGATTTACTTTATTCGACTGCATGAGAAATAGAGAGATACTAAGAGAGGAAAAGCAAGGACTAATGATGAATGGGGCCAGGCAGTGCAAAAGACTATTACAAGGCAAACAAGGGCCAGCAAAAGGGTAAAAGATTCCTTCAGAATGGATGTGACCCACTGCCAACTAATAATGAATAAGGGAAAAAAAGATTATTAGTGTACATGAATGCCTAACAAGGGAACAATTATCTTTGGCTGTGAACTAGTCAATCCCCATCTCTATTCTATCCAACTTTGATAGTGTCAAATTTGCATATGAATTTCAATTCAGGAGTTTCAGACTAGATTGACACTCCAAAAACCAGCAGGGAGCTTTTCAGTCTCCCTGGACATTCAAAAGGACTTGAAATCTGCTATCCTTGGGGGGGGGGGGGGTTGGAGAGAGAATTTCAAAAGCAAATCCCAGCTTGAAGCTCAGGGTAGGAATTCATATGCAGATTTTTCACTATCAGACTTAGAATATGGAGATGGAGAGTTCAAGGTTAATGCAGAAAGTAATTGTCCCTTATTAAGTGGTTGTGGCATGTATGCTTTCAATGTTCCTCTGACAATTCACCTACCCATTAGGAATGGATCCCACAATCTCCATCTTCTCCACCATGGGTTTTCACAGATGATGTTGCTAGACTTGTAATGACATTAAATAAAAAGACATTTGGATGACTTACCCCATGGCATCCCCATTTTAACCATTATCCTATTATTATATATTTACTTATTATCATCATCACATCATCTTCATTAAATCACACAATCATATTCATATTCTTACAGTAGATGGGGTAATTTAAAGCCTCACTAATTAAAATCTTCTGCCAAAAGTTTCCCCGAGAAAGATACTTATGGTATACTGGTAGAGTAGGAGTGGTCTTGGTGGTCCCTTGATTGGGTTGTTATTTATTGTTAGCTTGTTTGTTTGAGTTGGTAGTTCCTTAACTGGAGTATTGTATGGGGGTATTGATTGTTGGTCTATTGTCTATCTTGGTGTTAATCTCTACCCATCTGAGAGTTGATTGCTGGTGAGGAGATGTTTTGATATTTATGTGCCTTTTTTGGCTTTTTGATTGTCTCTTTTGAATGGTATGTAAATGTTGTTTATCTCTATGTGTCCATCCTCCCACACGTCTTTGGACACCCCAAAACACACAAGCCAAACATACCTTTCAATCCAATGGTATCACAGTATTGTTACCATGGATTCCAACATACAATGTTCCTAAAGATTTGAAGTCCTTACCAAAGACCTAAAAATTATTAAGGTAGTGTCTAAGTGTCCAAGCAAGAAGGTTTTTTATAAAATTAGAGTGTTCAAGTCTTATAAATTCAATATTTCCAGATTATTGAGAAAGTCCTTTAGGTATTGCCCTGAGGGCTCCAATCATTATGGGAATACCAACAGATTTTTTTAAATAAGTGTTCATATTGATATAATAGAAAGGATTCGATGTATAGACAAAAATGCCGGATCCCAATCTGAACATCTGGCTCACTATGCGATGAACCATAATATTTACATAACATTTATAATAATATATACAGTAATATTACCTAGTAGTGGTGGGAATAGTGCTTATTGTTCTGGAAACTTATTTTCACTTCCTTTAGCTGCATATGAAAACATCTGGTATGCAAATAATGATGTGATTTCTGAAGAATTTCAAAGGCTGCTAAAATGTTTGGCATGTCTAGAGTGCGCTGTTGCAGCTGTTCTGCTTTCACCTTCGCCTTCAATATCATTTCAGAAGTGGAATGCCTAAGGCTTATTACATCATTCTTAATGAATACTTTGAGGCGTCTTTTCCTAACCTGGGAATACACCAAATCCTGAACAAGCTCGCTGGGAATTCTGAGAAATGCAGTCTAAACATATTTGCAGGGCACCACGTAGGCAGCATTAGATTGTTTTCACCAGCACACATATATTTCTTATACTGTATATAATAACATATATTAATAAATTAATATTAATATATTTATAATATAAATATAATAATAATGACTCACTGGAGAAGAGCCAAATGCTGGGAAAGATTGAGGGCAAAAGAAGAAGGGGACGACAGAGAATGAGGTGGCTGGATGGAATCACTGAAGCAGTGGCGTGAGCTTAAATGGACTCCAGAGGATGGTAGAGGACAGGAAGGCCTGGAGGAACATTGTCCATGGAGTCGTGATGGGTTGGACACGACTTCGCAACTAACAACAACAAATAATAACTCTTTTTTAGTTTAATTCATTTCTTATTGCTTTCAGTTCCTTTAACACTTCTTAAGCCATCCAGCCACTAGCTGATTTATTGCAGATAATAATACTTACAGATCATTTAGAAAATGAAACTGACACAATAGAATGGTACTGAATGGTCCAACACATCACATTGCCACAATATGGTTGGCTTCATTTGGTTTATGGTGATATTATAGACATTGCGATCTGAAATTCAGCATTTAGCATGATGCATAGAGTTCTTTCCATGAAGGGAAAGAGAAATACAGTTTGGAAAGTGAAATAAAAGTATAGT